CAGTAAGCCCCCCCCCCCCACTTCTCTTCAAGATGGATTTTCTAATTCATCCAAATACAATGAGAAAAGTGGGGGGGGGGGGTACCTTTGTAGCAGCAAACAAGATCTAGTTAAAAATTAAATTAGTGGAAATATTTAATTTTGCAAAACCTCATCAGCTTCTCTTGTTGCTTCGAATTGGGACTTTTAATTAATTACCTTTAATTGATTTTAAGTAGAATCTGCACCGACTCATATGCCTACGGTTATCAACTCATTTTAGTATGCTAAGCAGTGTTGATTTTTCTCACACATTAGGATTACTGCTTAATGGCAAAAGATACTTACTTAAAACTTCAGTATTATTTCTGCTTTGTTGGACTTGACTTTCCATCATTTTTGCTATACTCATTAAATTTTCTGTTATGCTGCTGGCACTTTTTGCCAAGCCCTCTTTGCTTTGCTGCCTAAAAATTAAATTAACTGTGAACATGCAGTCAATACTTGACCCTCACGAAATAAAATTGTCAAGTGGCAGAAGGATCAAGATTACAAAGAAGCATTCATTTCAGCTTACTACAACCATAAAACCAAATTCATTTGGCAAGACCTGTAAGATGCAGTTATAGAAGTATATTATGACTTGGTTACCTTTGTCATTGCACGATTGCGGTCGATGGTTCTCTGTTTAAGAAACATCCCAAGTTCAAAACGTACATGGAGAGCACACCAGGAGAACTACTTCCAGGGAAACATATAAAACTGATGCTCTCGGAAGATGGTTCTGGTAAAGGTGCCGCACTTGTTGCCGCTGTTGCTTGTCAGAAACACAATTGAAAGAGACTTTGTATAAGTAAAAGTGTGACTTAAAATAAGAACAGTCTGTGTATAGCTAGTACGAATAAAAAAGCTGCGGATTGATCGGGATGCAACTGCCTGAAAAATCTTCACTTGTATTTTTCAGGCACCCGGGGGGAGGGGGTGTCACGCCCCCAATAATTGTAGATAATATATTTCAGGTAAATGTCAGACAAGTTTCACACTAAAATATTTGAGAATGAAAAATATATTGTCCGGAAATTTTTTTATAGTGGCTTCTCTCACTCCCCCCCCCCCTGCCAACAATTTTGAGGAAATGAATATTAATAGTGGTTAAAGAGTTAGATATTTTTGTTGCTCAGCCCCTCCCCAAAGGAAAACTGCTCGCGACGGCCCTGGTTGCATCCAGGGTTGCATCCCTATCACTGCGAAGCTTTCTGATTATCGCAATAATTACACACAAGATAAATATTGTTAGGCACGCTCACAAACCAGCTCTCTATTTTGGTCCCTCCTCAGCATGTTGCGTTGAAAGAGGAAAATATGGCTTGCGAGGTTGCATGGGTTTATATAATAAATTATATAGTTGTCACTGTATCGCACAACATTAAAGTATTCTACGATTCTACGCAGCTATCTTGGAACGAGCGTGGCCCTGGGGACGAGGATGTGGTCTTGGCCAATATCAATCTCGTTCCCCGAGCCTGCGATCCTTGGGAAGGAACGCGAGGCTCTGGGATAATCCGTTGCCGGAAGCCAGGAATTCTGGCTAAGATTGAACTACGCATCCATTTCAACGGCCAATCAGATTCCTCCCTGAAACGGATTATCCCAGAGCCTCGCGTTCCTTCCCGAGGATCGCAGGCTCGGGGAACGAGATTGCAGGGCCAATATCACAAGAAAATCCACGGCGTATATCAAAATTTAAGTTCGACATCACTGAATGCAATGCACCTTGTCTAAGTCATAGATATCTTTTATATACTAGATAGTGCATAGAATTATTCTGCAATTCAAAAATTGAAGCCGTGGTTGCAGACTCAAGATATTCCCATGAAATGAGAAGACTCGTATGTTTTGTATTTCTTAAACAGGGAACTTAAACATTAAGTTAAACCTATTCCAAATACATTTTCAAACTATTCAAATGATGAAGAAAGTTATTGTTGTTTGTTTTATAAGCGTTTATTGCCGAGTGGGAAACTCCAACATGGCCGCCATCTATTCAAATGGGGGTAACCGCTGGAATATTCTTGACTTCAATTTTGCTAAAAGAGATGCGCTATCTAGTGTATATAAGATGTCTATGATCTATTAAAGTCTTTTCGTTTTTGAGGTATACTAAATCAAACAGAACCTTTTTGCGTCACCCGATAGTATGTAGTTTTTCCTACCCCTTATATAAGCTAGATTAATATTCAATATTGCCGTCATGGTTACGCTAAGAGTAAAGAATTAGTGCTATAATAAGTCATAAACAATGATAAAACAATGATACTCAATTGGAACTGTAGGGAGTCTCCGTCCGCATAACAATTAATAGTGACCAGCTTGACCAGCTGCAATAAAGAGTAATGAATTAGTACTAGAATACAGCTTATAACCTTTCAAAGAGCTTTTACTCCAAAACAATGATGCCTAGCACTGCAGGTAGTCATCGCCCTCATTAACAACTAGCAAGCTTGTTCATTGAGTAGCCAATCGTATGCTCCATCGTCTTCACCGCAACCCAAATTGTCTTCGGATCATTTGATTAAATAGCTATTGGCGAACATTTTTCATCACATTTTGCCTTAACAGCAGTTCCTACAAACATACCTGATCAGTTGAAACCATTGTTGGAACTAACCTTTTCTATAGAGGCAAAGTTAAAAATGTCATTTCCTCGCCTTTCTTTTTCAAACGCTTTAAAACTTGGAATCATTTTCTTGATCATCAAACAATTAAAGGCTGATGACGAACAGTTTGGTGATATTCAAATGCTTTTCCGCCAAGTTGATAAAGGTGGGTTCAGATAAAAAAATCTTTATAAAAATTGAGTTGTTAATGTGCAGATCTACACAGAATGTGGAGTTGCATTTTTAAAAATACAAATGTACTAAAGCTCCCGAAAATATTCCCTAAAAAAATGATTGTCGTTTTGGACCCTCCAGGGAATACCAGATATGCAGCCAACGATCATCAAAAATATAATAAATTTTTTGGGGGAAAGATCCCCAACCTATTTTCGCCATAAGTTAGTTACGTGCAGCCGCAGTGGATAAATCTAATGTTGGGGGAGTTATGCTCCCAAAAACGATTCGAGTGAGGGCTATCCTTTGCTTGAAGTTGACTATTCATGAATTCCCTGCTATGTGGTTTGAAACAATGCGGATGGCTAGGTTTTCGATCCGTTGAGCCGGTGTTTCTGCATGTCCGCAAATCTTCCCTAGAACCCCAGAGGCCTAGTCTCTACCTCTATTAGTCTAACTCTTTGTCTATATCCCCCTCACCATTTAAAAGTTGTGCATTAAATCGACGTACTGCCTGGCAAAGGCAGGAAGAACTTCGGAACACAGTATAAGATCAACAGACGCGTTGACCATGAGTTTCTTTTAAACAAGCTTTCCTTCCAAAAAATCCCCACATATAGTGTGTCAAAGTATTTTTTTCGTTGCTGAAAGTTAAATTTGGGGACTTGGGGTATGCGAAAGTGGGCGTTCATTTTTATACTGTATAGTAAGTATATATATACAGCTGGCTGCGGAAAGTTAAGTTGCAGCAAATTAAAGTTAACTTTCAGTTTCAGCAATGAAAAAATTACTGTCCAAAAGACAAGCTATATCGATTTTAAAGTTTAAGAGATTTTTAAGACAGAAAAAGTTATTAAAAGACATTATCCATGCACGGCCCCACTCCTTCACCTTATTAAATTTTAACCATTGTCATTTCTATTTAAAATATATTTTTACAATTTTACAGGTTACAGACTAACTGGCAGCATCTTATCAGAGTTTAAAGTCTTTTCCTTGTTAGATTGTGCTCTACAATGTCTGCAGTACACGTATGAGATATGTGTAGGCTTCAACTACAAATCAGTAATAAAAACTAATGAAGCAAAGTGTCAATTAGCTGTCAAACAGCCTGATGACGCAATGGACATGGCAGCCGAGGACTGGACATTTTATCAAGTCGAGGTAACATCAATTAATGAATGCATGTCCTGTAAATCCGCTCCACTGAATGAACACATTATTTTGACCGCCAATGCTCGCAACTTACTTTAAATGTACGGAAGCGAAATTCCATGCTGTTGTATCTTTCAATTAAATTAAAATTCTTGTTTCTACTTTAATGAAAACTCTTGTTTAATATTTTTGCGAAAACAGCATTTTATTTCTGGGACAGATTTTTTGCGAACAAACTTATTAAAAAAGCGACCATCTTTTGGAACAGTGATTTTTCAGTCTTCGGCCTCGGCCCGCGTCTATACAGGTAATTTAGTCAGCGCCGGCAATTTAAATTTTTTTTCGCCTCGCTACGAGAAACATGGCAATTTGAGAGTTCAATGTTCGAGAGGCATACCCTCAGTGGACATTCCCCTCTGGACGTCCGCCATTTTGAATATTATCTTATTTTTTTGGAGGGGAGGGGGGGGGAAGGGGGTGGAAAATTCTTAAAAAATTGTTTGCAAAGACAAAAAAGTGCAAATAAATTGTTTTCACACATAGAGAAGAGGAAAAAATAGTTTGCAAGCTAACTAGATTATTCAACATCAACCAAGGTTTAACATTAAACAATGAACAGAGCACTCACCGACCTACCCAGGGTCTTCACCCTCCAAAAGCCCTGGGAGTGGGATGTCGGAGTCTACATATGTGTTATAGATAATAATCTATTGAATAGAGTCAATTTGAAATTGCTAAATGTATTAAAAAAGTATATCAAATGTTTTTGCTGCAATTCTGTGGCTGCACTTTTATCGTGTATCGTTTATATTTCGCCGTTTATACTGTGCTATAGAATTCCTGTGTCCCAAATCCGTGTCATTTTGGTGATTGCATCCCTGGAAAGAAGGAATTCAGCTGCGTCTGCCGTGCAAATATAGTTGGGCAGAAGTGTGATAGATGTGGAGGTAACTAGAAAGCTTAATGATACGCCCGTCTACTGGAGTGAGGGTACTAGGGGTTGGGTAACGCAGGCTAGGGTACGCCACTCTAAGATCAAGCGTCGTGCAAGCGAAAAGAACTGGATTACAGATTAATTTAATATTTTCTTTTGGTCAGAATTCAGTATTAAGCCTGGTTTCCATATGGTCGTAATGTCGTAAAAGTAGATCTTTCTCAATGGCCAGTTTATACCTGTAAACCAGATATAAATCATAAGTATTCTCTAGTTATAATTACTCCGCATATTTTCAGTTTTAAAATGTTGTATTCAGTTTCTCGTTTTAACATGCATCTAATTATATCTAAACAATTAGGGCTACAGAACACCCTGCGCAGCTGGTTATCTACCTATTATCCCATCTTGCTGTTTGGAATGTACAATTGACTATAAATTACACACAATGGCTGGAATGACCATATAGAGATAAAATCTCCAATAACGGGGTTCCACAACATACATTAGCATTATAACATTAACTTACACCTACAGTATGGTGTGACAGATATTAGACATACTAATAAACAAATTAACAAGCCACAAATTGCAACAAACAACGATAAAGACACACGACATGTTGATACCGTTTTCGCTATTAATGAGAACCTCATTGAAATTCTGGACTCGTGAATGAAATATTTGAGTAATTTGAAGCTGTTAAGACTATGACAACCTTAATTGAAATAGCTGTATACCGGATTTTGATATTGTTCAATCTTACATAGATCCAAATTACAACTTTGCACTGGAAAAACCTACAGCACAATCCACGACCTATTACGCAAACGTGGGTGGCTTTCACTCCCATCTGGCTGTTGATGGTAACACTGGAACGACTTATATAAACCAGCAAACAAATCAACCTCAGTGTGCCCACACACTCCAGGGTTCGTTAAGTGACCCTGCTTGGTGGAGAGTTGACTTCGGTGAACAAGTGCCGGTAGCTCGTGTAGTTATTCTTAACCGAGGAGATTCTAATTGGCACCGCTTGGCAAGTTTTGAAATAAAGGTCGGAGACAGTTTGGTGAACAACAGTCTGGTGAATCCAAAGTGTGGTGATAGACACGGGGCAGGCCGAGGTACAACAACTATAATGTGCACACCGATTATAGTTGGTCGATATTTGGTCATTCAATTACTTCTGGAGGAGTGGATGAATATATGCGAAGTCGAAGTATACTGCCAGTAAAGTTAACCATAACTTTGACATTGCTCATGAATATGATTTGCTAAAACTAGTGTACATCATTTTCATTCTATATTGAACTGGAGCCAGAGGTTCTCGTATCTTCCGCCCTGCAACCAGGGTAATATAGAGTACTGCTATGATGGTTATGCATTCTGTTTATAATTTGATTATTTGTACACTCACGTAATGTTTCTGACCAGTATTAAAATGCATGTCATGCTCTTGTTTTCCACTTCGCCCGTAACGAATAAAAAAAATTTCAATTAAATTTTGAGTGAATGTTGATTGGTTAACACCAATGCCAAAATGTGAATTTATCAACCTATTTTCAATCTACGCATGCTCGCCAGAACGTTTCGGTAAGGTATGGGCGAAGTCGGAGGTGGAAAACAGATATATATATATATATATATACCTATTACCTAATCAACAAAATTTTGATCTAGACAAGTCTACACAAAAATTTTATCACAGCTTGAAAGAGCATCACAAAATTAGTAATATTTCGAAGTTTCGTTGCGAAATGTTGTAAAATGCGGATAATATAGCCCTGCGAAGTTTGCCGTTTTTCAGTCATTTTGTATTGACTGAAAAACGGCAAACTTCGCGGTGCTATATTATCCGCATTTTACAACATTTCGCAACGAAACTTCAGAATATTACAAATTTTGTGATGCTCTTTCAAGCTGCGATGAAATTTCTGTCTAGACTTGTCTAGACATAATTCACGAAATCAGGAAACGGATCTAGCACTTCCAAAACCAAAAACTAATTTCTTGAAGAATAATCTTTCATTAGATGCAAAAAGAGCGACTTCGCTCAGTCAATTTAAGCGTAGTATTGCGGAACTGTCCTTTTAGAACCATGTGACTTAATTATAGTTAACTCTCTTTATTTACTTTACTTTACTTTATTTTTCTCAGTTTGTTTGTTGGGGGGAGGTTGGGGGGTTCATATAATATTCTGTAAATACTCCCTCCCTGTAAATCAGCTTTTAGTTGTGCGAGGCTAGCGTGTTTTGATTTTAAATAAAATTGATTGATGATGATGATGATCAAAATTTTGTTCATTAGGGAATAGGTCCGTTCAGTGCACATGGAGGGTATCTAAACAAAAGATTATTTGATTCCATCGCCCTTGTATAATTGTTTTTAGAATTTTTAGGAAGGGAAAATTCTTTTCTTTATTATGTATAATACAGTAGAGAAAAATAATACTAAACCAAAAAATATTAACAATTTGTCTGTCGTTTCACGTCGATTATATTTATTCAATAATTGTTTACTGGTGTGAACAAACCCTGAAAGTCCCTGTAGTTCTTCATTTGTGTCTGTGATACCCTTGGATGATGTCACTGAAGAAATGAAATAAAAACTACATTGATTCTCAGTGGCCGCACTACAGGGAGGATACCACCACTTCTCTTACAATGAGAAAAGTGGGCAGGGGGGGGGGTGTACCTTTGTGGCAGCAAACAAGATCTAGTTAAAAATTAAATTAGTGGAAATATTTAATCTTGCAAAACCTCATCAGCTTCTCTTGTTACTTCGAATTGGGACTTTTAATTACCTTTAATTGATTTTAAATAGAATCTGCCCGACTAAACACTGACTCATATGCCTATGGTTATCAACTCATTTTTATGCTAAGCAGTGTTGATTTTTCTCACACATAAGGATTACTCCTAATGGCAAAAGATACTTACTTAAAACTTCAGTATTATTTCTGCTTTGTTGAACTTGACTTTCCATCATTTTTGCTATACTCATTAAATTTTCTGTTATGCTGCTGGCACTTTTTGCCAAGCCCTCTTTGCTTTGCTGTCTAAAAATTAAATTAACTGTGAACATGCAGTCAATACTTGACCCTCACAAAATAAAATTGTCAAATGGCAGAAGGATCAAGATTACAAAGAAGCATTCATTGCAGCTTGCTAGACTTACTACAACCATAAAACCAAATTCATTTGGCAAGACCTGTAAGATGCAGTTATATAAGTATATTATGACTTGGTTACCTGTGTCGTAGTTCATTTTTTGGTTCAGCTGACATTAACTGACTCTTTTCGTATTTCTCAATAGAAATTTGGGCTTTCGTGATTGCTTTACGAAAATTTCCTTGCATGCTGAAATTGGATATTAGATTTCTGTATTTAGCATTCTCTTTAGCAAAATTGTTTTAGAGTTGTGGCAGAAATAATTCACAAAATGTTAACCTACAGTAACTGTAATCGAGATGCTTGCCTCTACCGTAACAGCAGACCATTCACGTAACCCACACCCTATATTATCTGGGGCATGATCCTGCAAACTCAGGTACAACACACTGAAGGCTCAGTCACAAATTAAGACTTTGAGTTTCTCACTGTCCGAGTTTACGAAATAAGCGAAAACCAGTTTTCTCATATTGGGATGCCTTGTGTTAGGTCACATGAGTTGTATAAAGTCATGTGAGTTTTTTGCACATTGTATGCAGTTACCCACCCACCCTCCCAGATTGGTGGATACTAATGTTTTTTGAGTTATATATAGTTTTTGTTTAGATTATGAACTGAACTGTTATCCGGGATTTGTTAATCATGTTTTTTATAAACAGATATGTTATTGAAGATAAATAATAAAGGCACCGCCCTGCTTGCAGTGGCAGAACAAATGGCAACCCAGTGTGAGAAAACAAATTACAGGGACTGACCAGTGTGGAAAGTTTGTATCGCGCAACCAAGATATCAGGCATGCAATTTTGGTGCTTTCTATATATTAATATTTACTCAGTTGTGCAATTTCCAAACTTTCCAGTCAGGGGGGACTGGCTGCAGTGACATGTGCCCCAAGGTCACACAAAGCAACAGAATAAACACACATGTGTTTTATACCTACAACAGATCACATGTTGGCTTGATCCAATCATAGGACTTTTATCTGGAGTTAATATTATTACAGAAATGAACGTAATTTATTCAAATTAACTAAAGTACCTTGATAAATTATAATAATGTTTGTCAACTTCCTCCGTGATTTTAACATGACTGCTTTCTTTATCTTGTTCTTCTCCGATTTGTTTCAATTCCTAAATGAGTACACTACCATAAAATTGAAACAACATAAAATTGAAACATTCAGAGCACAACACAAAAATCTAAAAATTTATGTTTAACACAAACCTCCAGTTTTCGTCTCAAACTTTGAATTAACTTCTTAACTTTTGTATTTACTTGATTCAGTTCATCCTGGGATTCACTAATATTCGTAGTTTCTTGAATTAATGCGGTAACTTCAATTTCAAGTTGCACAATTTCGCGAATTTTTACTTTACTTTGTGGTGGAAGTTCCGCCATTTTGAATTTAATTAGAATCCGGTAAAAACCGGATTTTTACTACATCCCGGGCGTTCTTTGTCAGTGCCCGCGATCACAATTAGAATTACCAGCGGTTGAGTTCGCAACTCAATATTCAAACATTTTCAACCAGATAAAAAAAGATTAAAACTTTTTTAAAGCACTTTAGATTTTATACCGATCCCAAACACTAACCGGCCTAACTTTTAAGAGTTAAAAAAGGAAGGAAGAAAAAAATTACAGGAAATTGAGAAAAAGAGCTAAATCAGATAATAAATGTTCGGCATCGATCCCGACCCCGACTGCGTTTCACTTCCGGTACGCAGCGCCTTTACCGCTTGAGCTAACGACAAACTTGGTAAAGATTACCGCAAACAAAAGTTTTTATATTGCTACAAAATACGAAATAACTCCCGTCTGTCCAGTCACTTGGTTATTTTTTATTTGAACTGCTATAAATGTTACTAGCTCATATAAGATCTGTGAAATTAGTGTTAAAACATAAACAGTTTTGTCAAAAAATTAAAAGGCAATATGTCTGGATCAAATAAACTGACTAGAAGCAAACTGATATCTTGAAATATAGATTAACATGCTGACAAACTGTTACAGTTTAATCAAGTTATAAATTCACATCGAGTATTATATAATTTATATTTGGCTTTTAAGATGTTTTCTTTCAAACATTGTGATTTCAGGAAACACTCGATGTTATCATCATATACCGCTGATAATACTAATTGTGATCGCGGGCACTGACAAAGAACGCCCGGGATGTAGTAAAATCCATT